CCCTGGAACATCATCCATTAAGAGGTGGTTACAAGCTCCTCAAAGCCTCCTTGCTGTCGGATGTAGTTTATCGTCTTCCCAGGATGCGATTCTCGGATACAAAGAGTGTCTAGTAATTGATGCAATATAATCTTTCCACGATTAATAGAGAGCAGTTTCGTTTTGGTGGCGTTAAAATTAAGACATTCCCTGCCTCCAGTTAACAGTAGTTGATCTGGCAGAAGATCACAATTAACTCATCCTGTTCTCTCGGTACTTTCCTTTTGGGGACTCGTTATGGATTGACCATAACTATGTGCAATGGCGGAAAATTGCAGAATGTGAGAAGTGGGATTAAGCACTGAGGCAGAAATTAATAAAAACAGGCCAAAAATATAGAATGTTACAATAATTATGCATTGTTAAAACGCTAAAGCCAACGAGAAATTTGGAAAATCTGTTGAATGTTGGGTATATCAGTAGTGCTTAAATTACTGCGATTATTGTTTTCAGGCTTTGACAAAAAGTTCCAGATTTTTGAAACCCTCAAGTTTTAAGTTTATAATATCTTCAATTTAGAAACTAAGATTTTAACATCTGATTGGTACCAGGTTGGGTCAAAATTTGTTTTCCGGATTTTCTCTTATGATTTTTTTGGTAATTTATTTCCATGTTATATCATTAATTTGATATAATTTGTTGTCCAATTGTTGCCGAATTGTTTATTCTTCATTTCAATATATAACAAACATTGTTCATTATTTTACAGCTTTGATAACACCACAATCACCATCAACACCACCAACACCTCCATTTCAGTAAAAGATTTTGAGCCAAAAATATTTGGGTTCTTTGATGTGTCTTAAAAAAAAATGACCACCACTGAAAATTAGTTTTGGACCCGAAATCAAACTTACCCAAGTGAAGAACAGTAATAGGAAGATTGTATCACGTCAATTTTTCTATATGCTACGTCCCATCAAGACGTTGATTGTCATGGTTCTCCACACTTTCTTGTCCTTTGCAGCTCTTCATAAAATTTTGTCTGATATCTTCCCTAAACTTTGTTCCGCCATCTATTTACATAAGCTCGCTAGTAAGTTTCTACGTTGTTTTCCCGTCTCTTGCCTTCAATCTGTCATGTAATTATGAAGTTTTCCAAACATTCTTTCCAAGAAATTTCAACTGTCTCTTCCTGATGGTAATTATGTGTCCTTTTGTTTCCATTTCCTCTAAAACTTTGTTGCTCACATGTACGGTCCATGGTATTCTCAGCATCCTTCTGTAGAACTACAGTTCTATTTACACTATTTTCATTATTTGGACTTATCTTGATTGTCATATTCAAGTCGTTTTGGCCGTTGGGAATTAATTGAAACCAAAACATGCAGAAAAGGCATGGAATGTGGAACTAGAACAATCTACCCCAGTTGACTAAAAGGGTTTGGTTCGAAATTCCAACGTGTATCACCTGAAGAAGTCCGGAGCGTACGACGGCCGAAACGTCGTGAATATAAAGATGACGATAACAGTCCAAACAGTGTATATAGTTACAATACCTCATCTCAAAAATATAGAAACCACATTTGTTACTTCAAGGTCTCTTCATCTGTGAGGAAATTGTCCAGCATTCACTGCCACATAGTACTGATATTACATAACAGTTCAGGACATCCGTTTCTAACGAAATCTTTGTTTCTTAATACTTTGCTTAGCTTTTGGAAGACATCTTTTTCTATCCCAATGCGTCTTCGGATTTCAGTGTCGCACTTTCCATCCGCTATTAAAACACTATTTGTAATTTGTATTATCAAATATATTATTTTGCTAACAACCATGCAAAGAAAAAAAGCCAACTATTTTACAGTTCCGCCATGTTTCTCTTAAAGAATAGAAATGTCTTCTTGAAATTGTTTAGTCTTTCTCGCTTTCCTTCTCTACCTTCTGTAGGAGTTCTTTTAGTGCCAAATGTTATGCGACTTTTATGCAAATGGATCAGCTTTAAAATAGTTGGCGTTGTACCTGGCCTTGGAGACCAACTTCAGGTACCAGTAGAGAATATGCATTTATTTCGACCTTTTTTTTTTTATTTCCTTCTAGTTTTTTTTTTTTTTTTATTTAATTTGTTTAACGGAATGTCAACTGCTTATGAATCATTTAATGCCGAAATTTTTCTTGAGAGCTTTGAAGTAATAAAAATTTCATTCTGCTTTTGCAATTGAAAGCATGGCGGATGATACTCAGCTTTTGTGCAAATACATGTTTACGTGGACACAATTATTAGAGGCCATGTGTTTTATGGTGTAATTTTGTCAAAGTTACATTTTGGAATACAGTTTGATTTAAGAAACTGTCGGATATTATATGGATTAATCTCATTAAAACGTTCATCCATTGTTTGGTTGATTTTGTTTAACGGCATCTCAACTTCTCTGGGTTATTTAATGACCAACCAAATGTAAATAATTTGAACAATTTTATGGCTTCACCTAAGTATATTTTGAAGGCAATTGTATACGTTCAACTACAGATAAAATGCATTGCTCACCATCCTGCATTAAATAGATATTGTTGGTAATTTTACTATAAATAGGTAATTTTGACATTTTTTATAGTAAAAATACCAACAATATATCATGTAAAAAAAAAAAAAAAAAAAAAAAATGTATTTTTATACTTTCATAGCGTTTTGTTTGGAGGGGGTACACTATTTGCCCATAGCTGGGACCCTAACTGGTACTACCTTCATAGTGTCAAGAAGCCGCCATTTTTGTGCAACAGAAAGAGAAAAATGTATCTTATTCATTTTCTGATACATTTTAAATTATATCCAATTATCAACAGGATTAGTGTGTCGTAGATAACTTTAGATTATTTATCTGAAATGATTTTATCCAAACACCAGACAAACACTTTCCGCGTGTTTTTCTTTTAAGCCAACTGTTCTTTCAAACCAGATCTTTTGCGCAGTTTCACGTCACTTGGAGATAATAGTTGAAGCAAAGAGAAATTTAAAACAAGTAAAAATTACATCATCCATTTTAGCAGACGACAATTTTATTATCAGTATCCATCGTTTTAGTTTAGTTGGTATCGGATGAAGAAGATTTATTTATGTCAAACACTGCAAACTCTTTTTGCCTGGTTGTTCCATGCGGAATTTTTTTTTTTTTTAGCATATTTTGGAAAGCAAAAACGTTCATAAATAAAAGACGGAAAAATTGTTTTTCATTATTTTCAAGAACCAACAACTTCTCTTGTTACTGTTGCCCAAACCGTGCTTCAGTGGCTCCATGTAACAATATGCGGTATTTTTATTGTTATTTATTCATTTCCAAATATAAATTTGGTCTTCCATAACATTTAAAAGTAATTTTATTTCTCCGTTTAAAAAAAAAATATTCTTTAAGAAAAACATAACGGAGTTGAAGCAATATGGCGGAACTGTAAAATACTCGGCCTTTTTTTTTGTTTGCCTTTTTTTGCTAACCATGTCTTCTGTAGCCAAATTTAAGCGGTGCTACTATAGTATGCGGTCTACCTCTGTACCAAGCACTATAGTATGCAGCCTACTTCATTTACTACTATGGTATCCGATCTACCGCGCTATCTAACACTATAGCGTAACTAGCAGATTGTTCTCTCGTAAAAATGTGACTGCTGTTTCTTCGGTCAAGATGACACGTCTATAAAAATATTTCAGCAATATTTTACTCTGAAAGAGGTTATCCAGCTGATGCTAATGGTTTCAGACCCAGCAGGATTCTGATGCGGGAGCTCCATTTCCTTTTTATGTGTACAGGATACACGAGGGGTGAGGTGAGATGATGGTAGAATTAATCGTGGTAGACCGCAGAGGGTGTAATTCATAAGGCGGTAGACCGCACGCTATAGCAGCATCATTTAAGCTATCCCCAGCCTGAGGATCGAACTCCTAGCCACGAGACGAGTTCCTGAACCATCGACCTATAATAATCACTATCTACTGATCAATGCAAATTATTTGCGGGAGAGGGTGAATTTCTTTGCTTTGGCGTAGTCTGGCACAAGGCAAAACAAGATTATCACGCGGAATCGAATTCACTACATTTGTGAATTGATCTACAAAATTAATTTACCAATCACCATTCTACAAGAGGCGTCCGAACTAAAAGCACCCTGCTTTTTACTCGTTGAAATTGTGTATGCATATTCTGATTATAGATAAAAAAATTGATCTATCGCAAAAAGAGATCAATCACCACAGCAATTTTGTTTTTTTTGTTTTTTTTATCTTAGGGCTGAAGTCTGACACAACGCATCGGATTATGGGTAACGTGATAATTGAATTCACATCTGTAAGCCTGCACGACTTAAGCTTAGCGAGGTATAGTGAGGTAAAAATGGCGAGGATTTTTTTTTTCATTTTTAAGTACCAGGCAAAAAGGAATACCTGTTCTTTAATTACAAAAATAATAGAAACAAAACATAAAAAGTGAATATAAGATCCCAAGTCGAATCCTTTTCAATCAGTGTACCACTTAAATTTAAAAAATATTAACATTAAGCTATTGACCTAATCTGTTTTCGTTTCAAAATGTTCCGGTCTTTTTGCCTTCTCGTCCTAGACAGGTTCAATAGAACAAGAACAATCCAACCCTGTAGATTGAATAAAGTGTTCAGTTCGAAATAAAACAGTATACAGTGTAACCCGAATATAAGAGAGTTGTCGGGACAGAAGAAGAAGTCTCTTATATCGGGGTTTCTCTTATATCCGGGTTTGGTCTATTATATATACATTAACACAGGCTCTAATTTGGGACCAGAGAAAATCTCTTATATCCGGGTTACACTGTACCTTCCCTGTAGAAAATATTTGTTACTATGTTAGTCATGTACAAGTTGCTGCTTATAATTCCTCACCAGAAGAGAACAACTGCCTCCTGAGAACTATCTGCGTTGTCAACTCCAGTGGCACTTGAGCAACAAACGCCCTTTGCTTTTTTCATGAAGTCTTTCAGCATTCTAGGAATTCATTAGCTTACAGCCACATCATTTTGAAACACTGGTTCTCGTGCGATCACCGAAGTTAAGCAACGTCGAGTTTGGTTAGTATCCAGATGTGTGACCGCTTTGGAATACCAAGTGTTGCAATGGATAACAGCTCGAAATTGATAATCGGAGAACAGTTTCAATTCCGGTCGGGTCCCTTATATTCCTTACGCTACCAGGCAATCAGCTTTTTTTTTTTTTACTTTCTGATCACTTTCCTTTACTTCCTTGTCTATGAGTTCTTCGGTTAGCCTTCTGAGAAGGATATCAACCCAGTCATCAGTATATCTTAAGTTTACTGCATGGTATGCGTATAACTTCACAAGATTTGGCGCTCGAACCTTCTACTCCTTAAAAGTTCAAACCTTTCGTACATTGATTGAACTAGTCCTACTGTATGGATCCGAAACTTGGACATTATCTGTTCATCTTGAGATGACTGGATGGAACATATACAAATCTACTTAGAAAAATTCAGAACATCAGTTGGAGATCTCCTAGAATGCATAACAATTTACGGAGAAGCGAGACCAATCCCTCTTAAGCTCAAACAAAAATGGTCACTGTTTGCCGGCCACTGCCACCTAGTGGACAGGGATACAGTCTCATTACTCCTATGGCATCTTTCTGGAAGTGTCGTCTCACGAAAATTGATTTTCTCCAGACACCATAGCTCGAAACTCAGGGTTGGACATTGGAGATCTGGGGACAGCAATACAGGACTGAATAGTGCGGTAAGGGATTGTCAATGGTGACCAACAATAGGGAGGTCGAATATTGAAGTTTATGTCCGCCGATAATAATCCTAGTATACGATGACTGCGCTTAAATTCGTGACGTCGCCGATATGCCAATAGGCGTCCACACGATCCAGTGGATATAGTTACCTTCCCTTTCGCACAAGTAACCTTGTAAAAGGACTAATTGTCACTTCTCCAGTTATATATTAAATGGTCTAGTTGACGGGACTCTAGCTGTGATTGGCAACCAGTATAGAAAAACAACTGAATTCAAAACCTTATGCGGCCATGAAGGAGCACATAGCTGAACTGTAACTAAGGTCTACTTATTATAGTTGCAGCATACACCACAAGTTGATTCTTTGAGTGTTGATGAGACTGTTGGGCCTGAACAGATAGCCTTGCTCGAAAACGTGCAGCCATGTTGCAGATGAAAAATCGCACTGATTTGCAATGTGCCTTCAAATCGAAAAAAAAAAAAAAAAAAAAAAAAACTCCAATAACCTTTATACCATTAGTAAAAAAAAAAAAATGGAGAAAGCTTTAATTATATTTGTCCATTAAGCAAAACAGTGGATATGGAATTTAAATAACTTTTCAAATATAAATAGTTTGACGCTAATAATTCGCGTGAAAAAATGTTTTGCGAAAACCTCCAATTTAAAAAAAAAAATATCTACCAAAACTTCTATTTATCGCAGTTCAACAAGACATTCATTAAAACTTAAATTACCGAATAAATATGAAATTATATATATATATATATATATATATATATATACACACACACATCACATCACGCCACATATATGAAATGGGTATTTTGTAAGAAATGTTTACGGAAATAATCAAATACCTTGATTTAATTTTATAGAATCAAAATATCTATTGAACTCTAATTTCAAATTTAGTTTCTCTTGAAATTTATACAAGTGGAAATCTTTAATTTTATTCTCTACGTAAGTTGACGTTTCAAATATGCCGTGAATCTAATAAAAAAATTATTTCACATTTTTCTTGCGTTTGTTTTCAAGTTTTAAAAAATATTTACCTTATTTGGACACTTTTGAAATATTAAATTGTTAAGTTCCATTCCTTGATTATTAAAATAAAATCAAATGAAGCAGATATTTTAATTAGAATTTTTTTGTTTTTAATATAAAAATATTTTTTAATCATTTCACACAAAACAGGACAATAAAACTACTAAAACGCGAAGGGTAACAACGTGAGAATGAGGAAAAGAAAAAGAGCAAACATTAGTAACAGAACAAATGTAACAATAGTAACGTATAGAATTTAAGGAATTGATAAAATTATTCCTTTGGCTGTTTAACATTTTCGAAATCGGAAGCAAATAGGTTTTTAACTTTTTTTTTTTGGTCAGCCATACTTCAACTCTCCCAGGAGAGGTATCGTAAATCTAAACGGAATTTTATCACACGGTGAATTATAGATGTATAAACAAAAAAAAATTAACTTGCTTTAAAAGATACAAAAGTATATTTTCTTGCTATTCAAATCAAAATTCTTTTGTGGTACAAGAAAGTTAAAATGTATAGCAATAATTTAAATATCAGTACTTTCCTATTATCGATAATTATCATGGAATTAAAAAATTGTTTCGCATTTAAATAATCCAAAGACAAATCCTAATCGACGGACATATTTCTCATCATTTCTGGAAGTATTAAAACTGTTTTATCATCCAGAATTATAAATATAATTAATTTATCAGTGCTCATCAATTTATTAGGGCCTTTTAAAATTGTTAGCGGAGAGATTTCGCCATTTTATATCCTTAACTTTACTAATTTACTTTTTTTATGAATGAGTCATTGTTATATATATATATATATATATATATATATATATATATATATATATATATACACACACACAAAGGTTCTCAGCAGTCCTCGATGTCTCAAGGAATTGCCGAATGAAATTAACAATTTTTATCGCTAGCGACTAGTACGCGTGAGGGTCCCTACTTTAAATTTGTGCGAAATTCAATTTTCATGCGGAGGCGAATAAATACTGCCTCCAATTCAAGACGGAATAAAACAAACAGCGTTTTTAATCACGTTTGGGCCGCGGTTTGTCAATTTTCAGATGACAAAGTTTGATAAGCTAAACCAAAGAGGATAGGAAACCAGATGACAATATTTTGAGAAAATTTTAAATGCTAAATTTGTTACATATATTTATAGAGAATAACATTTAGAAGTCTTTTGTAAGTGAAGAAGCAAAGAAATTAAACAAATAAAATCGTAAAATAAAGATTCGTTTAAAGTCTTTTTTACTATTACTATATTTCTTACAAAGACTACTTATCCTAAGCTTTTAAGTGTCCTTATTTCACTGATGGAATATATTTTATATTGTTTATACCAAAACAGGGTGGGGTAAATTGATTATTTTATCGACAATATACATGAAAAAATTAAAATAAAATATGTACTTACACCATGTTAAAATACAATCAAATGGACTTCTGGTATCAAAATAGGTCTTAAAATATGTTCCACTAGTGGACCAGTGTGCACTAAAGTTTTCCTCCAGAAATACATTGGATTACAATTTTTTTTTTTTTGGTTTATGTATGAAATACAATGACACGCATATACTGTATGATCACACGCAAAAAAAAAGTCCTTTTTAGGATTTGATAATTTACGTAAAAATAATCATTTAGAATCTGATTTCTGTTTGACTTTTTTCAGGACAGAAAAAAATTCTATAGACATCTAAAGACAGATTTAACGTAACATTCCAACTGTTCGTTTCTGAGTAAAGAACACCAAAGAGCAACTTATGCGCGGACAAACATCGTCGGTAAGTAATATTCGAAAAACTCCGAATGGAGACATGTTGACAAATTTATTAGCTTTTAAATTATTTTTAAGAAATTCCTAATTTTACACCATAGCATTTTAAGCATAGCAAAAAATGTTTTCAAACTAATCATTACTTTATTAACCGACATTTATTCGAAGTCCGCACATAAGTCAATTTTAAAATTTGTTTGGAGTTTTTTTTCCCCCCTTCAAATAAGTGGGCGTTAAAAGATTAAAAGTCTTCTTTTTCGGACGCTGGGAAATGGCGTATGTACAATTCAACAATCTAACTTTTAAAAAAATATGTCGCGTGAGTAAATTGGAATGTTAGCAAGTTAAGAGGTTAACTATAACATTAAACTTACCGAAGTTATGGCGACGTTTCTTTCATTGGGTGGTATGCGGGTCCCCATAATTCTGGCAGTGTCAAAATTAAGTTAACTGAGTAAGCAAATTCTGATGTTTCCATACAAAAAAAAAAAAAAAAAGGCGTTGTACACCTACGTTGTGTATTTTACGAATACATAAATTTCTTGTGTCTGCTATTGTTTCGTAAATCGACTGTAATATTCGATAAACAAGGCATAAGGCAAATAAAAGTATATTCGGAATAATATGTACATCGGTAACTAATATTACTGCCTTCGACCAAATGTGTTTTGCTTGTTGTCGAGATTTAGGCGCGGGGCGGAACTAGCGAGAACAAATAAATGGATTTTATTGCATTTAGTAGAAAAAACTACAGAAGGTTAAAGACATTCACACAGACAAGTGATGTGTTGGAGAGGTCTTATGGTTACGTAAAACTTAAAACCAACCAAAAAAAAAAAAAAAAAAAAAAAAAAAAAAAATTATAATTTTACTAAAATTATTTGCTTCCGAAAGCTTCAACTTTTAAACGAAGACATGTTTTTAATTCTGCTATTATTGTGGGGGGGCTGCAGTGAACTACTGTAGAGGACAAAAGAGGCTCAGGGTTGCATTTTTTTTTTGCAACGCTAAAATAAAAAAAATACATGAATAAAATATCTTACCGCCAGCTCGAGCAAAGATTCGAACGTGCCTCGCGTGTAAACTGTCCAAAGAAGAAGGAAAATAGCTGCTTGGTGGGTTACCCATTTAATATATCTAGATCCCGGCGTAAGATACTCTCTCACGAGATTATCTTTGCGCATATGCAAATTTTGGCAGTCAATAATACATAAAAACTGGAAGAATGAGGTGAAAAAAAAAAAAAAAAGAATCACACACACATATATTTACATTATTTGGACAGTTATCCTCATCGACATATTCACAACATTTCGGCCATTGTAATCACGCTCGGGTCTTCTTCAGGTGATTGGAATTTTGAACTTAGTTACAGTGATCAACAATTTGAACAAGACCAACATGCTCGAACCCTCGGCCACGGTGACTTGCGACTTCGTGCTAGCACAGCTATCGACGGCTATCATGTGTTCCGTCTACCCAATTTCACTCACAAGACTTGGTTCAATCCGTGGCATGGTTTTCAGACACT